ACTGTAGTGAACCAGATGACCTCAAATCTACCAGATGGACAGAGACTGTTATTTTCATTGATCTGAATAAGTCTGGGCCATCTGATGACTTTCTTTCTTGAATTAATCAAGCAGAAATGACAATTCTTTATAATCATTACTGTCTTACAAATGTTTTGATAATCAAATTGTGTTAGTTCACTCAATGCTTTACAGGTTGAAAAGAACTACTCATTTTTATTTTACATAAACAGTAAGTAATGATTTTTATTCCTCATTCAGAGAAGAAATCACCTGAATAAGCATTCCTTGATTTTCTGTCTGAAATGAGTCAAGTCGTAAGTATGTGAAAGGTTGGTTTTCGGTCAACTAAAATGTTTACCGAGAAAAATGTCATGTTTAAACTTTTTCAGAAGATTACCAAGAGTAGACTCCAAAAAGTCTGCTGTTGCTGCAATAATCTTTTCTGTATGTGAAAACAAATTTCATTCTCTGACCTCGACCGTTGATAAACACCTTACGTCAAAACCACTCCTCTTTCTGGTCCTTCCACGAATCAGAAAGCTCTAAATTGAACAGGAAGTCGACCCAAATAAAAGGTGGCAACTTCCCAGTTCATGTTAGATTGAGATTGAGATGGAAAAGTTCATGGAAAAGTTCTGAAGGAGTTCAGAAGAGAACTAGAGTTATGAAGAGTTTTGGAGTTGCCGAGAATCCAGAGACGGGTGGGATTATAATTCTGTTTTGAGCTAACCAAGCACGACTCTCCGAGGATTTTAGCTGTGCTTAACGGAGGCGCTGGAAACAGTCTGAAGGATGCTTACTGAGCTGATCTATCGTCAAACCAGGTAAAGACTTCTTCTTCGACTAAAGTGTACCGTGGACGGGCTGAGGATCTGACGGAGCGTGCAACTTCTGGTCAAACAGATTAAATTCCCTCACATAGTTCTCTGTAAGATAATCTCCTTTCATCTTAAACTCTTCTCTCTCACAAAATCAGTACAGATATTTTAGAAATATCTGAAGCAAAGTCCTCAAATCACCGCCGAGTGATTTGAAGTTCATTTTCTGTGAAACTGTCTGTTATTATTTTCATATTTTGCCAAATTAATGTAAATGTTTGATGTTAAACTTTGATTCTGAAAATAAATGATTCCATTCATTTGATGGGTCAAAGGTAATAATGTCTCTTGTTCGCATTCCTTTAAATTCAATGCACGGCATTACACAGTCAGAAAAATGAAGAACTCGTGAAAAGTATGCATAAATATATATCCATATATTTGTCATACAACAAGTGACACGTATCTCACGTGACTCACTACACTACAAATATGGCTGCTACGGCAAACATTCTGTGCCTGTGAAGAGTAAAAACTGAAATTTTTTTAACAACTCGGTGGACAAATTTACTTGTTAGTTTGAATATACAGCTTGTTGGCAGCATGGTGGATCAGTGGTTAGCACTGTTGCCTCACAGCAAGAAGGTCCTGGGTTCAGTCCCCAACTTGGACCAGGGATCTTTCTGTGTGGAGTTCGCCTGTTCACTTTGTGTTTGCTTGA